TTTTTACTAAGTATTTAATATAGTTTTACCATTTTTATAACTTTAATATTACTTTACCTTTTTTGAATTTCACAGATTTTTTAACCAAGTTTTACTTTTACATTTTAGATGTCTGGCTAAATCCTAGATTTTATCCAGAAACCTTAAAAATACTTATTTGTCTAGAGATAAATGAAGAACTATATTCTAAACTCAATATATCCTGCATTCCTCCGCTTAAAAATTTAGTCAATATGTAATTAGTTACTTGTATTACACTTGCTTCAGACTTAGTAATCTTAGTAATCGTACTAATATATAAAATAACTTATTAATAATATGTTATAATAGTCAGAAATCAAAGCAGAATTAACTTTGCAAAATCAACTAAAATCAATTTTAGAAATTTCAAATGAATCAACTATGATTAAATTATTATTTTAAATTTAATTTAATATCAGAATATCATAAAATACCTAATTAAATAAAAGATTTAAATTTTTAGAAAATAGGATGAAAACTTTATTTATGATGAAAATTATAATTATTTACTTTTTGTAATATTAATTAAATTATAAATGTTTTGTTAAATATTAAGATATTAATAATATAATTATAATTGTTAATTTCAAATAAAAGTTATGCCAGAAAAAACATTAAAATTTCTCAAAATAACGATCGTTGATAGCTTCATCAATTAAAAATTGTTTAGCAGCTGATTGAGCTGACTCATTAGTTGATATTACTAAATGAATATTAAATCTGAAATTATTTTACTAAAAAAAATTATATTTAGTAAATATAAATGTAATTTAATATACTATTAATAAATGAATATAAACATTAAATAACAAATGATCGAAGTTATTGAAAATTTAAATATTCATATTTACTTTATATTAAATAAAATCAAATTTTTTTTTTTAATATCGTAAAAAGATTTTCGTCGATAGCGGGCCAAATATCTTTAACCTTTAAATTTAACTCAGGCCGACACTATAAATTTGGGCAAAACTAGCGAAATTTTGTAATCACAAAAAATTTTAATTTTGCCCGAAAATTAAATTTCGGTCGGAGTTAAAATTAAATATAATTAAAAAAAAAATTACAAACTCTATCGTTCAAAATGATTGGTAAAATGATCATTGGCAAATCACGGACCCCTTTATATCAAATAAAATTGTCTACTATTCGAAAAATTATTGAGTAAACAGTTTCAAACGTTTCGTTTATTGTACGATAAAAGTATATTTTTTCAAATATTGTTCATATCGAACGTCTAATTAATAATGTGTAAATATAAATGAATACATACGAATTTGAATATGACCTTATAATTTATTATATTAATAAAGCGTATAATTCAAGATAAAACTTATCCTTCGCAAGAAAATGTTCGAATACTTAATTTGCTCTTTTGAATGAAATTACATAATGTTAATTTCAAAGAAAAAATTAATTTCGATTTTTCACATGATGTTTATCATTATCACAGATCGATCGATCATTGTCGGGTATATTTTAAAAAATATCCAAATCTGGTGGTATGAAATTGAAAAAGGAAAGTCTATAATTCGGTATTTTAAATAATCTAAATTTATAACGATAATTTAAAAGTCGGAGAGTGAATATGAGAAGTTTGCTATTTGGCGTAAATAGTCATAATCGAATGATGAGTTCGAGCTTTCGTTATCGGTTGATTATAATTTTTCGCTAACATATCTATCCTTATTGTAATTTTCCTTTTTTCCTTCCTCCATTTTGATACTAATTTTCTGTATCGAGTCATGGACATTTTTGTCCCATCATGGTTTACGAAACATAATAAACATATTTGGTTTTACGTTTCATCCTCCTCGAATTCCCTAATTTCTTTTGATTTTTAACGGTTCACAAAAATGAAATGGTTTCATAAATTAAAAAAAAATAATAAGGAAGAATGCCTTTTTATTAATTTTTGCGAGTTAAACAAAATATTTATTAGATAAAATTTTAAGAGGAAAAATAAATTTATAAACTTTACGAAAAATAAAAATCTCGGATCAATAAAGTTAAGTTAAAATAAATCAATTTATTATTTTAAATGAAAGAAACAAATATATTCTGTTCTTTAACGTTAATAAATGAATTAAATTTTTTTTTTTTTGCGAACAGCAACGTGAAGATCGCCCCACATACATACAGTATAATGATTGGGCTAATTCGAAAATCTGTCTTCAAAGAATAACCCCAAAAAGGTTATGAAGTAATAGCTAAACTATTCCGGCTGGCACAATTAGGTTTTAGGTTAGATCTAAACCAAAATAAGAGTAACAATCATAGGTAGTTTATATGCATTACCCCGCGAGTTACAAAGAGAGATTTTGTGAAAAATAATCAGCCAATAGGGAATTGTGGTTTTCTTTTACATTTTTGTTTGCTATTAAAATCGAGTCATAAGATTAAAATTATTTTAATTCGAAACAAACTAGTCTTTCAAAATAAAATTGTCTCCCTAAATTTGTCATATCAAAAATGCGTTTCGTGATGTTGTAACCTCGAGTTGTAACCCTAAAGCGATAATATCCGGATTTCCTAAATCGGATTCCAATGCGAAGATCGTTTGGGATAATACGCTGAAGTCGTAAAACATTATTGGGATCAAGGCTTAAGAAACGCAAGCGCAATACAATGAAAAAACAAACATTCCAATGTCAACAATTTATTCTAATATCAGAAAACCGGAAGTGTAGCCACATAAAAAACGCAAAGGACTTCCTAAAAAACTACCTCTGAAAATTGCGCAATATATAAGAAGAAATCCTTCTATTTTAGTAAATAATTGGTTAAAATGGGCATAAATGTAACAAATTTACGACATTTAGAAACTCTTGGTTATAATAAAAAAATACCAATTCCAACACCAATGTCAACTGCGGCACACAAGCAAAAACGTCTAGAATGGGTACGAAACACTATTAAGTATTGGTATAGGGAGGTGCGTCCGATTAGTTTTATGCCAAAAGGTCGGTCAAAGATTTTGCGTGGGAAAGTTTCGGTGAACAAGGAAAAACTAGCTTTTTTTGTTTAGAGGAATTATGAATGGTGAATTATGTTATTTTGAAAAAAAAATTTACCTGAAATTACAAGAATTTTACATAATGATTGGAGGACAATGATCCCAAGCACACAAGCCGGGTGGCTAAAAAAATTTTTGAATGAAAAGTTTTCCTGAAGTAATCGACAATAGTCCAGATCTCAACCTTAGAGAAACGTCAACCAAAAAATTAAGCAGATTAGAACAAATTATGGTAGAATGGAATGATATTCCAAATATTGTTCTTATTAATTTATTACGTCCGATAACGATGTGAACTTAGGATTCGAATCGAAAGTCGGAAAGTCGTCAAAGTCGAAAGTCCTTTAAATAGATTTAATTAGTCCGATTAATCGGCAACAATCGGTTACACAAAAGATATATCTTTTCTACTAGTTAAATGACGAAATCTATGAAGAAGTCGAAACAATGATGATATTAATTCGTTTTATTATTAGAAATTCTGTATGAACACTTGATGAAGGATTCATTTTTTGTGTATTGGTTCCTTAAGTGAGCAAAGTTAAGCTAAATTTATTTTAAAAAATAAAAAATGTCACGAGACGAGACAGATCACAACTTGTGAAAACATTTGTTTTTAACATCTTTAGCTTTTATTTTCTAATAAATAAAGATTATAATACAAAGTTTGATTAAATATTGTTTTGTAAAGCTCTATAAATTTAAAAAATTGAAAAAATTGATACCGATTTTGCCGATTTTTGATTTTCAAAACTGGAATCGAAAATCATTTTTAACAGCCGAATAATCGTTTCAAAAATCGATTTTTGCCGATTCGGCTTTCGATTTTGGTCTTTGAATCCCAATGTGAACTAATGTATTCAAATAAACTGATTTGCACATGATTTTAAGTCATTTGTTACTGCGTAATAAGTACTTTTGTAACACAGATTTGGGCTGAGGATAAATGATCATTCACATTTGGGCTACAATCGTGACAACTTCTATTATTTCATTGTTTATTGAGAGAAAATTAGCACATAACTTGCAACTTATTTAGGACGAAGAAGTTAATTCGATGCTTATAATTAAGTCAAACCTATTAAAATATCTAATTAATTAAAATCGTATGTCGTGTTATATAACCTCCTATATTTTGTTTTAAAATTCATAACCTCGGCCGAACGGGTTGTAGCTTTGGAATATTTTTTTTATATTCATTTTTTGATCAGCTGTGTGCATTATTTATTCTAACCAAATAAATGTTTAAATGAGATCCGAAACACTCCCATTCATAAGGATTTTTTTATTGTTATCAACTCTTGGATATGATGAAAGAAAAGTTCTGATGGCTACTTATAAAAATCTTTATTAGGATGATTATTAACACGATTTCTTTTGTATTTTCTATCACGGTGTAGTATTTTGCCGAAATAAAAATCAACCGTGCTTTTTGATTTGGTTCGAAAATCTTTAATTCTTTTATTTTCGCAAAAAATATTTTGTACTTATATTAGATGCATCCTCTTATTTCTCAAATACTGGAAAAAAAAAATAATATAAATTTTTTATCATGACTGAAAATCACATGGCAGATTTGACCGACATGCCAAACCTTTTTTTCGGGTATTTCTTTTAATAATCGTTATCCTGAAATTAAATATTTCTGTCTAAGGAATATCTTGTCGTATTTTGGAGTTCTATTAAATATCTGAATATTATTTTATTATATATTTATTTTTATTAACCAGAATTATTTTAAGTTACAAATTTTTAATATTGAAGAGTGAATTTAAATGCTAAATATTTAAAATAATGCCAAGACGATTGATTACATTTAAAATCAATTACTCAGCAAAAATGTATCAAAAGAACAAAATTAAAGGAATTGTATAAAATGGACTTGATTTTTGCTTAAACTCTTAAGTAGCCAGATATCCGCAATTTGATTATTTATACAAAAAGCAACCATTATTGTTTAATCATGGCGAAAAGACCTGCTAATGCATATTTTCGTTATCGAAGATCACGTATAGTAAAGAAAACTAAAATGAGTATATGCTCAAAAATTACCAGTAAAGAATGGAAAATCGTTGATAATCCACTAAAATTCCAATACTACCAAGATTACGTAAAAGAACTGGTTGAGAAAGAAGCTAATTCCGGTGGAAATGGTCTGACTATAAAGACTTTTGAGAAGTTTGGTAATTTTGCCTTCGTGTGTGAAACGCCGATTTTAAAGAAAAAAACAACCGCTGCTGATAAATACGTTTTGTCGCAAATGAAACGCGTCGAGGTTGATGATTTAGATCCTTCTATCTCGTTTAAGGATGACCAGAACTTAAAGGATAACACACATCCTTATATTGCCGAAACCGGATGTGGCGAAGATGATGTTCATGATCAAGAAGAATTTTTGAAATTTTTTTCGGAAATGGAGGAGGATCTATTCGAAAAATATACAGTTGCCACTGATTATGTAAATGAAGAATAGTAAAATTATTATATATTTCAAAATATTTATTTTAATTATTACTCGTTATGCTTACATATCTCAATTCGAATTTACGTCTTCGAATATTCATTCGTTCGACGGATATTAATTTTATGAAGTAATAACAATTAATTTACGATTTAAGGTTTATATTTAATATTAAGCTATTTATAAAATTCTATTTTATTGAAAAATATTTTCTTTTTTTGTTTCGATTTTAAAATAAATGTTCGAATTAGTTATGATTTTCAAAAATAATCCGAAAAGTATCGCCTCCTTTCCTAATGCAATATTAACAATAATTAATTTCATATCTTGATATACTTGCAGAAATTTTGAATTCTAATTGATTCATTTTAAAAGCTAGGGTGATCCTATGTTACATATTTTTCTTATTTTTGTTCTATTTTAGTTCCATATAACAATAACTATTTGATTGTATTTTCCTCTCTTTAGAAAATAATATTTCAAATCCAATAAAAGTAATTTGAAAGTCTTCATTATTTATTAATCAGCCATTAAATAAAAATGATGTTATCGAAAAAATTTAAAATATTGTTATGATACACATGTTAATGTTTTTAGAACAAAGGATGTGATGGTACACAAGATCTGATTCTGTCCTTTATTTGGTTAAATCCAAATTTACTGATGCAATTTTACAAATTCCGAGAAAAAATCCCCTCCTCTTTTTAAGCTTGCCATTCTCAGCCCATACCGAACCATGTTTCAATTATAAATTCTGTATTACTTTAGATTTATGCAATAAAACTTTCGTATAAAAATATGTATTTAATTTTAATTTGATATGTGATAAGAATAATGTTAACTATTGTGTAACTGCATTTTTTATAAATGTTAATTAAACAAAGTAAATTAAAATGAAGTGTTATAAAGGGAAACAATAAAATTTCTTGAAAATTCAGCTTGTTTGCTTAATTTTGAGATTTGTTTCCATTTTAAATAAATTATTTTGAATCCTTTTTGGGACAAAGAGAAAGAAATATTTTAGTGATTAAATGTGACTGGTTAATAAATAAACCGGCAAAAAGTTTCACACACGCGTTTCGCTTATTTATCTCGCTTATGATGATAGCATTCAACTCTTTATGGGGATATATTATCTATGAAAAAAAAAGATGATAATAAATAATTACTAAGTACATAATTGATAATAAGTTTGTGCACAGAAATTTTGTATATAAAATTGCAATTCTGCCTTTACTTGTCGAGAAATAAAAACATGGCTTATCATTTTTTTGAACCAGAGAATCCCAAAATGAATAACAGCCCACGTAGAAGAAAGCCAAATATGTTCATCATCTATCGGAAAGAAATGATGAAATTTAAACCGTCTAATATTAAAATGACAGAATACAGCAAGCTAGTATCTGAATGGTGGAAAAACCATTCAATTGACGAAAAATGGAAATTGCAAAGACAATATCAAATTGATCGGGATCAAGAATCTCAACATACGTCCAATGAAATCGCGGAAGAAGGAACAGATTCTAATATTATCAATTCTATATACTTTGCATATTATTTGTTGTAAAAAATTGATAATTTATATATTCACCCCCCTTTTATTATATGACTTAATGAAGGTCATCGTTATAATCGAATTTTTACGTCGTCTATTTTTTTTAAACAAAATTTGAAATTACTCCGATTCTTTAAATGATATTTAAATATTTTTTATTTTATATTTTTTTTTTTCGTTATTTGTGTTATATGTCGTTTTCGCACGTCAAGTATTCAATAGTTTTCGCGTTTTGTAATTCCTTCATCATTTTCAATTTCAAAGATAATATCTTTTTTTTAAAAAAAAAATGTATTTACACTTCCTTTTATGATTATGCTAAACTTAAATTGTATTTTTTAAAATTAAGCTGATAAAATTTATAATAAATGATTTTCATTTTAAGTCGATCATCACTATATACGACGTTATTACATCATGACGCTTTAAATTTTTTTTGATATTAAATGTGCCTTAATTTGCATTTTTGGGGGGGGGGGGACCAAGTGATCGAATACTGGTTTTTTTTTTAAAAAAAAAAGGGTCATCTCAAGCTATCAACAACTTTATAATTAATAAATGAATAATTGGCGTTGAACAGCCATGTTAATATAATTAATTACTGTCTGATGGAATTTAATTACGTAAAAATAATTATAATCTAAACATAAAGTCGAAATTTTTGAAACCTTTATTACAATAATTATTAATTAGGATTTTTATGGAACCATCGGATTAGTTATGATTGTTAAAATTTATGATTTTACTGCGCAATTTAATTTTAACTTAAAAGATTATTATTATATTATAATTTAAATTGAACGAAAAAAATTACTTGTTACAACAGCGCTTTTATTATTTTTATTTTTAAAAAGAGAATTGCAAAATGAGAAATGTACAAAAATACATTTATGATTTACAAGTATAAACAAAAAAAACAAATAAACAGCCCATCCCAAAACACAAAACCTTATTCCGATTTTATTTGTTTTGTTGGTTTAAGCGTGCGTGTAACACATCTACTATTTAAATATTTATGTTTAAATATTTATGAAAATCTTTTCTTGTTTTTAGAATTATTCTTGATCACATGTTTGTGATAAATGTCGGATCGATAAAAATTTAGTATTTAAAAAATATATTCTTTTATAATGTTTTTTTATTAACTATAACGATGAAAATAACATATGAAATTTATATCTTTTGATAATTTATTATTATTTTTATAATTAAATAATTGACAAAATTTTTAAATATTACATTTTATTATCTTACCTTACGTGCACTTTATTTATTACATTATCTTTAAGCTATTTAAATTACGTATTTGTATAATTATTTTTTAATTCAAATAATTTTATTAAAATTCTAATATCATTATTAAAAAATTTATAACAAAATGATAATAAATATATTTTAACTTATTAATATATGGACACCTTGCAGTAAGAAGGAAGGAAGCTACAAAAAATAATTAAAATTTTACTTTATATGCTAAATATGATTATAGAAACAAATTTTATTATAATAATTAAAGTTTATTAATTAATACAATATTTAAATGTTTAAATTTAAAAAAAATTAACCTATAAATATTAAAATAATAATGTTTAACATTGCTAATTTTTATTTTTACTTTAAATAATACATATGATAATTTATCACTTTTTAACAGAAGTTCTTTTTTTAACCTTTTATTTGCAGATTATATTTTAAAATATATCAATTTTACTATTTTTAAGTTTAAATAAAGTAAGTGATTTACATATAAATATATATATTATTTTAAATATATTCAACAACTTTATAAACTTTATAAATTTTCAAAATAAAAATTTAGATATAAATTTTGACCATATAAATAAAAATATCATTTTAGCATTTTAAATATATTAAAATGAACTAATTGCTAATTATTTTTATTATTTTTCTATTAAAAAAAAATGACAAAAATTATTACAAATAAAATTATTTTTAATAATGCCATTTTTAAAATTAGCTTTAAATTTTATTTATATTTTACAAATTTAATTATTCTTTAAAATTAAGATTTAAAATTTAAAGTTCAACTTATAAATAATTAAATTTTTAATAAATTAATCAAAATTTACTAATTTTTTAATTTTTAATTTTATTTAAAACATTATAAAATATTTTAGTTTTTTTTTATTTTTTAATTAATTTTAAAAATTAAATTTGATTATAAATTTTCTAGTAAATTTGCTGAAATACCATTTAAGAAATAAAATATATATATATAATTATATAAATATTTATTAATATTAAATAACAAATAATATTTAAGTTTAATTTATTTAAATTAAATATCTATTTTATTTAATTAAATATAATTAATAGATTATTTTATAAATTGTAATAATTATAACAATTTACTTTATAAAATTCAAAAGTATTTTATATAGATCAAATATTTATAAATAATATTTATTTTAAAAAAATATTTTATATAATATATCATAATTATAATAATTAAAATAATTAAAATAAGAATTTTATTAAAAATTAAAAATAAAAGTTTTAGATAATATTTAAATATAATTAAACTTTTATAGTATCCCTTTAATGATTTTACTAATACTTTTAAAGTTAATTTTAAATATATTAAAAATTAGTTATTAAACCAATAATATTTTTATAAATTTAAGTAAATCAAAAAAAAATTTACATTATTTAGTAACTTTATCAAATTTTTTAATAATTTTTAATTATTTTTATATTATTAAAAAAACTTTATAAAATTTATAAATTTATATTTAAAATATTTATTTATATATTTAAATATTTTATTCATTAAAAATATAAATTTAAAGTTGAAAATTTTGTATATATTTTAATATTTTAATTATTAAAAATGAAATTTTATTTAAAAATAATAAATTTATAATAAATTTTTTATAATATATTTTAAAAAAAATTTGTAAGTTTTTATGTAGTATTTTACATAATAATTAATTGAAATCATAATTAAATTTAAATGAAATCATTATTGTTTAAGAAATAATAATAAAAAAGTCTTAAATAAAATCTTTATAAATTTTTATAATTTACATTATAAAAAAAATTTTAAAAATAAATAATATAATTATACTAATATTAAGATTTTATAAATATATTATTAGTAATAATTCTAATATATCCTATAATATTGTATTAAATATAAGTTATGAATTATAATTATAATGATCACTAAAATCTTAACTTTCTTAACTTTCTTAAATCTTTATAATTTCTTAACTATCTGTAATTTCTTATTTTCTTTGTACTTCTATAATATATTATTTTTTTTAGTTATATTTATTTAATTTCATTTTTTTTATTATATTAAAATATCTATTTTATATCATGTATTTTATATAAATATTTTGTCTTTATCTTGATAAATAATAGAGTTTATTACCATCTCTAAATAAATTAATATTATTTATTTCTTAAAACTATATGGGAGCATTTTCAGTAAAATCATATTACAGATCATATGATTTACTATGCCTTATAACTTGATTTTACTGAAAACGTTCCCATATGTTTACTTATTTACAATTTATTCTTCTTTAAACCTATATTAATAAAGATAATTTGATACTTTAATATAATTAATTCATATTTATTTCTTTTATAGTTTAACTTCTATTAATAAATATGATCTATTAGCTTAACAACATAATATATAATTATGTCTGTTAATAAATAAACATTTTTATAATTACTTTTTGCAATAAAAATATTTAAAATTTCTAAATAATTTAAAATATATATAGAAATATTTAGTTATTATATTTAATTATAATAAAGTATGATTATTTATTTTAAAAAAAAAAATAATAAAATTAAATAATTTTTATAAGACTATTTATTAAGATCTATCTTAAATTTAAAATTTAAGATTTTGGATTTCATATAAGTTTATTAGTACTTTTGATTATTAAAAAATGAATATAATATCAGTACAATATAAATCTATTTATATAAACCAAATTATTAAGACATTTAAGATCAATATTTTATATTTTATAATTATTATAAAAATCTAAAATTATAAAAACTATATATATATATATATTTATTTATTATAATAAATAATTTATTCATTATTTAAGAATTTATATTAGTATAACTTATTTCTAAGTGTTAATTAAGTTATCCTTTAATGGTAAAAAATTGCAGACGAATTTGTCTGCAATTTTAAAACAATTTTAATTAATTTTTAACATAAATTTTTATTATTAAACTATCTATTTTTTTAATTTTTACTTAAAATTTATTATAAATTTTATTATAAAAATATTAGTTTTAATAAATATTTTTATTTTAGAAAAGTTTTTATTAGAACAGAATTTTTGTATTTTTAGTAATTTATAATTTTTAAATTAAATTTTATATTAAATTTTATACATTTATCTTAGAACTACAAAATTTTCATATAATATTT